TTAAAATCTTAGACTTAGTAACTTTGTCTGATGCGTGTTCTCCAAACTGGCCTCATGTGCACCCACAAGGAGGGCATCCAGTGGGTGTGGGTGCAGTGCGGAGGAAAGATGTGTCATACTCAGACCAGTATCAGTAACTGACATTTATTATGTTGTAGTGACAGATGATGCAACAAAAATACTAATAAAAAGATGTTTCCCTTTAAGGATTCTCACTAGAAAATGGGATTTAGAACCAGCAGAGATGGTTAGTTTAAGTAATCTACTGATTTGGTATAGCCCACACTACCATGTGATCAATATGTACACTTTTAATTGACTAGTTTAAAGAAAAGTCGTCCGCTATTTAGATCAGAGGTTTTGTGAGCTAGCCAAAAAATATAAACATAATATGCCACTTTTTTGATTATTGATCATATTATAATTTCAGATGTGCCAGCTGCTCATTTGTTAATTTGTTAGGCATTTGTATGGAATAACTTATAGTCATTAATGTGTCATTGTTCAGTTGTGGAACAAACCCAAAATACAGTACATGATAGATTTAACTTGACTTGCAGGTTAAAGTTAAAGTTAAAGTTCTTATAGCTGTGCATTCAAATGAAAATCAACCACTTTCCATTCCATGTATTTACATTTTGTAATTACATCTCTATATAGTAGATTTTATTGTTAATGGCGGACCACGCCAGCTGCTACTCAAGGAATGTCTGCTGCCCCCAGAATTCTGGGATCTCTAGTACTACACTGTACTTGCTGGTACTACTAGTAACCATGGGTGTCGCTAAATCAACCAGAACCGAATTCTTAACTTAATGTACTGAAATGTTAATGACCACAGCAAAAACACGTGTCCAGCTGAGGATGACATTCCTCTGCATTTTATTCTCAAAAGCATCATGGAATGCAAATAGATTGTTTACATTTGAATGATGATTAATTCCAAACACATCATTATCATCAGTCAATCCTAGAAATTTCAAGGTCAAGGGACCTCACAGTTGAGGAAATATGTAGGTGGGGGGAAGAGCTAATCAGCCTATAAGAGTATGTGGGACGGAGAGGCATAAAAAAGAAGTGAGAAAAGTAGCTGCAGGGTGAAAAATTCAGAGCAGACCTCCACCACATATGAATGTACAATATATGTGTGCAACCGTATAACTGCTAACAGACTGTGACATCAAAATAAAATTCCTGCAAACCTTCGTAAGATAAATATAGTGTACAAAAATATAAACTTCTTGACCCTCTTGAGTCATCTCAGATCGCCTCTTCTTCATCTCGATGGAACGGAGACAACAAAGACGGGAGAAATGTTTCTATAACTGACAATGGACAAATTTACTCCCCAACGGGTTTTGTTGAACATTTGACGAGATGTGTATCTTATGGCATACTGAAAAGAAAGGGCAGTGACAGGCGGCAGAGCATTTGTTTTTTCTACTTAAGAAAATGAATGATGTAGAAAGCAAGCTGAACAACAGCGCTGCTGCTCTTCCTTTGCTCAGGGTAGTGTCTAACCTGCACTTCCCTTTTAGTATCTCCTTCTACGGAAATAAACTGTGAGACAAAATGGAGATACACTGAGTTTCCAACAAATGCAGCTGGGTTTTGCAGAGAAAAAGAGGCCTGACCTCTTTTTCTGAATGAATGAAAATGACCTATGCTGTGGGCCTGCATGAATCTAAATTGAGTCACCAAGGGTATCCTGTGCAACAGTGTTCTGTTTGATTTAGAAACTGCTCCCTTGCTGATTCGAGGCAGGACTGGGGATGGCTGTGCCCATCGGGCCTTGTGGGGAGAATGTTACAATGGCAGACCTCTCCAGCAGTCCGTCTGCTCCCAGACTCAGCATCAGACAAGTGAGGCAACACAAATGAACCTTAGTGTAAGTTCAATCAGGAAGACTATGCTACGCTCTTCCCTCGTTTTCTCTGTAATCAGCCGGCTATGGGCGTTACTCTTTCAGTAAAACCAAACACATTTTGCTACAATCTCCACCACATATCGCTGCTTTCAAACTTTAAATCTGTTCTCCTCTCTGCTGTTGTCTTTTCAGTGTGAATCGTCACAATCCTCCTCCCCCCCATTCACCTCCAGTTACATCACTTCCAGCTCCTAGTTCTGAACTCATCAGAAGCTCCTCTTCACATCCATCCAGATTTTAGCAGTCTCTTCCACCACCACCACCACCAGTGTCTGGACTTTATCGAGGGGGTATCTTATACCACACACAACTTCTTTCCTTACCTCCTTAACATATGATGATGTCACAACGGGATCTAATCGCCAACGACTATTCATGCGTTTCTCATCTTTATGGTGAACGTGTAAGTAAGTTTTGTTCACTCTTAAAGAAGTCTCTCCTGATTAAAATGCAGGTCTACACACACAAGACTGAGAATGAGAAAAGGCTCTTTCTGTTACACATAAACACACAACTTGCGGTCTCTTTCTGTTTCAGGGTGTCACTCTCAGCCTTCAACATAACACATTCTCATTGGTGATGAAAGCTTAAGCTCAAGTAAATAATAATAATAATAAATATATTTTATTCAAAAGGGGATTGTGCCTTAATAGCTAATGTCACTTTCTTGTAAATTCAATTCATTTAAATTAGGACAGCATTCAGGGTGAAAGAGGACCATGTCTGTGGAGTTGTTTGCTTGACTGACAGGTGTCTCAGACTATCACAGTCATCCACAGTGCTTGCCACTTCCTTGTCCCACATCAGCCCAATCTAGGTTTCCTCCTCACTGAGCCTGAAATTAGGATTTTCTGGCTCCAGTTACTTAGTAAAGATATCAACAGGCCAGATATCCAAACATCATCATGGGTCCCTTCAGACTGTGGTTACAATCAAATCTTCAGCAATTCAGAAATTTTAAAAACCAGACATACTGAAAGTAAAACACAAGCTTTGGCCTTGCAACACTATCAAATCTAGATTCACTATGAAAAAGTTCTTAAATCATGGTCAAATGGTTATTGCAGTCTGTGGTTTGAAGCCTTTACCACAGTGTGAAAGGCAATACCAGTGTAAGGATCTATTACAGCTTTATGATACAAGGCTTACGACTTAATTTGACTGTGATTTGGAGGTACACTTCATATTGCCACATAATTCACTGGGAGACACGTTTCCCCCAAATGATGTATCCAACATGAAGGCCAGTGTAGAGACCCACACAGGACCACAGCGCAGTGACTCTGGGAAGGTGACCAGTACTCCCTCCACCCTCTCCTATTATAATGTGTGAGAGGAGCCCCTCTGCCTCCATGGCCTCTAGCTGACCTCCCACTGCCTGCAGACAGAACACTTAACATTGCTTCCCCACCTGTAGAGATGTCTAAAGAACAGGGCCCACTTCAAAGCCATGCAGTGATTGGGCCATGATTACCACAGGCACTTCACTCATTTCATCTCCTCCGAAGGACTAAACTTTGGGGGAATCAGGCATGGAGACACGGGATTCTTTAGATTTAAGTCACCTTTGGAGGTACTTTTCCGGGTACCACAAGATGATTTATTTTGACGATAAGATACTAGTGGAAAAACACACCATTGCGGCCGGGTGCAAAATATGTATAACTGTAAACTCGAAATGTTATTTTAATAATGCAACCAGTGTTGTTTTTATACAATGATAGCTTATGAGAGTGACTTATGCTGCTAAGGTTTCTTGAAGTCGGTAGTGGGCAACTGGCACAGATGTTTGCAAATGTCATTTTGTATCAGTCGAGTAGCAGTTTGATAAAGCGGCACTTCCACTGTGACATGAAAGCCCAACTGGGTTCGACAACAACCGTCATCTCTGCTCTGCTTTTCTGTAGCTAAATGCCAGTGACAGGAACAGAATTCACTGTGGTAACTGATCAGGTGCCAAGCGCCCTCTCCCCAGTGCCCTGCTGCACTGAAGCCCTCTGTGGAGCTGGCATGGCCTGGCTTGGCCTGGCAGCCACGGGCCCTGCTTTGTATCTCTGCCCCGTCTACTCAAGATGTCTCCAAATCAGACTCGACTACTGTCAACTGCCCATCTTGTAAGCCCAGGTAAAGGGTAACAGGCGGCTGAATGAGTTGTAGAGGTAAGACAGCAAACAAGTCATCTTCAAAATCGACCATGGCCGAGTTTATTTCCCCAGTGTGGTACCCAGCTTTAAATATAATCTGATATTAATGATAGATTAAAGGTTGTATTATGTAGGTCTTTCCCAGGGGACATGAACATGGTTTCAAAAATACCATAGCAGTGAATTAGTGGCTCACCATCTTTACAGGCAGGCGTAGTTTGTAGAAAACGTGAACCAGGCCAACAATAAAAGAAATGTATATGGGCACAGAATTGAAGCAGGCAGTGGTATTTGCAGTAATTGTAAAGCGTCCTATATTTTAAGATGAACAGACAGTAACACTGCTGTGATTTACAATATGAATTATAGCTGTTATGCATTTCACCACCATCTACATGTTATACCATCTGGCCCAAAATACACTGTAGTGATTAATATTCCATGAAAAAGAAACATGGTCTTTATAGCCCCAATAAGCTAATGGGCTATCTGTTTGTGCCATCACATTAAAATATGCTCAGCTGTCTCACATATATCACATTGCTACTGTATGTTCCCACATTACAAAGGTCTGTGACTAAGCATACAGATTCAACATCCACATCCATGTTTACAGCATTTAACTCTGAGACTCCGGCTAACGTCTCATCCCAAGCAGTCGATGAGATTTGTGGCCTCGATGTATTCGCCCTCGACCTAAAATTAAAGAAGAAGAAGAAAAAAAAAGGTATTCTCACGGAAACCTGAAGTTGAACGCATCGAGGCACGTACTCGCATAAAAGGCAGGTGCACCTGTCTGCAGTGGTCGCCTATTGTGTTCACTATCAAATGAGCCATGAATCGGCCTGTCGCGCTCTGTGTGTCGGGAAAAAATAAATAAATAATAAAATAAAAAAAAACATAAAAAAAAAAACATGTCTGTCTCTTACCGTTGTGTTTTCAGTCATTACTCCCCATCCTCAGGTTTTCAGTCCAGACCTCTGACGAACCGTTAATTCCTATCAGGCTGTCTCACTCTCCCTCTCCCTCTCGCTCAGCCCCATGTCATATTTCTCCGCTGCAGCAGAACAAGGCCACGCCCCCTTTCGACGGCCGCTGCCGCCTGACGTCAGCCGGTGAGGGGCCGTGGCGCACGCCCTCGGAGGGGGGAGACACAACCGGGGAGGAGCCGCCAGAGGCCGCTGTGCCTTCACTCAAACACCGCATCTCCTGAAAGCACATGGCCGTCCAGTGGCTTAGGACTTTATAATAATAATTTAAAACAAAAGACAGTATTAATACATTATATTTAAGAATAAATGCTCTTGTTGAATGTATGTCTGAGTTTTACACTACTATTACTATTATTACTACTATTAAACATAGTTAAAGCAATTAAATATTCTTCCAACAAACAATATAGTCCACAAACACTAGCCCTAAAAATGAAGCAAAGAAAAAGACAATATTAATACATTATAATTAGAATAAATGCTCTTGCTGAATGAATGTTTGAAGTTTAAACTACTATTACTACAACTACTACTATTAATAAACATAGTTAAAGCAATTAAATATTTATAACAAACAATATAGTCCACAAACAGTAGCCCTAAAAATAAAGCAAAGGTAGAGTTTGATTTGTGTTTTCTTCTTTTTTATGAGATGAAAGTTTTCCCTTTAGCCTCAAGAACACACACCTTAATCTCTTAACCAGTAGAAGTCTAATTTTTGTTTATGCCCTTGATATGAAGAAGTTAACATAGCCTTAGGTAAATCTCAAAACCTGAATGTGAATCTTGAAACTGTTGAAATTTAAGGTAGGCTACAAAATAAAATTGGTTTTAAAGTTTTAATCTTGGACCGCTATAGGCCTATGTAAGGGATAGTGCCCGACGAGGTGTCCATTATCAGAAATTAATGGACGTGTAACGTGGCGTTTGGAACCGTCTGACATGAAGGCGAGCATTATCCCGCTTATACCATGGGCACTCGCCAAAGAAACAAAAATAAGATCATTATTTGATATTTTCATATGTTTTGCAATCAAAATCTAAAGTTTTTTACAAGCCATAACTCTGTTTCCCTGGTAACACTTCCTATACCTGCACTGGACTGTTCTGGCCTCCACATGATCCATTAATTCCTGATAATGGACACCTGGTCAGGCATTAATGGACACCCAGCAGGGCCCAGATCAGAATCGAGTATTCACCCAGACGCGGATTGGGCTATCACAATAAATTGATCCTAGTTACGACAGAACCAGCATAATTTTTGCTTGCCAGCCATTACAAATGCTAGGTTATGCTCTTTTAGTTGGTATTGTGGGTTTGTCACAAGTGTGCACTTTGTTCGCTAAAAGGCCTGGAAACAGACACTCCACTTCCATTAACATATTTTAAATGACTTTAGTCCTGATTATCTTTCATTTTAAGTTACAGCCAGATCACTGTGACCCTCCACCCTCTTTTAAATGTCCCCCATGTGTCCCAAGACATTTTTATGCCCCTAATCTGTGTAATGGCAACCTCTATCTTTTTAATCTGGTTTTTAATTTGGAGTAATGTTATAGCCTTAGTTTTAATGATGGGTTTTTACATTAGCCCTTTTATATCCCTGTTTTTCCCTACATTTCCTACATTTTTTGTTTCATTGTATTAATTTTTAGTCTTGCCAAATCTATCTATCTATCTATCTATCTATCTATCTATCTATCGCGACACAGAACACTGGGCTGTTCTCTCTTTTTCTTCTTAGGTTCAAGTACCAAATGCTGACCGCAGTCCACGCTCATTGTCAGCGTGTTTCACCTGAACGAACTGGTCCGGCAAGTTATTTCTGGGCTGGTGTTCACGAAGCCCCACATATATCGATCCGCCAGCGTACCTGCCGCACGGACACTGCGTCTTTGGAGACAGTCCTGACCTGACTGCACGGCCATGAGCTCCTTCGCCGCGTTTCTGATCTTTCTCTACGCTGTCGGATTTGTTGGATGTAAACCCTCGTCGCCCTGTCCGAGTGGACAGTTCATGCTGAACAACCAGTGTGTCCTCTGTCACTCCACCTGCTCCGAGTGCGACGGACATGAGCTGTTTAAATGCACTACCTGTGGAGTTGGTAAGTAAAGATGTCCTGTGCACGTAGATTTAAACACGGTATCTAATCGTGGGTGGATTTTCCAGTCTTAAATCTCACAATATGTTTTATGACGGCTTAAAAAAAGTCATGTTTTGTATTGCATACTTTGTGGAAGGAAAACAATATAAATGATCAAGAGCTAAATAAATGTTTAATCAAAGTTAGTCAATATCTTTGCCATCAACTGACAAATTTCTTACGCATTTCTCATCATTTCTGTATGAAATGTGCAACATATGAACACCAAATTGCTCACAATTGGCCCAAATAATTGCCCTGCTTTGATTTGTTTGGCTCCATTGATGCTTGATTAAAACAAAGCCATGTCACAGACTCATTAATCCAGCTGAAAAGGGAGGTGGAGGGTTGTTGTTTTTTATCATCCTATTTAATGGTTACCAAAGCAAAGTTGTTTGAGGGCTTTCTAAATTAGAGGAGGAGCATTCCGTTCTGGTTTACCATTTACTCTTGTTAAACAGTCACAGATTGGCTGTGAAACATGTTGATTTTTCTGTCACAGGGGCACCTTTGAAATTGGTAAGAAATGAAGGTGTGATCATTTTCCTCCTGGGTTTTCACAGTGTAATCTGATCACGTCAGAATGGGGCCTTTGTTAATCAGAGGGAAAGGAAAAAAATATCTCCTCCGGCTAGAAGTATTACTGTTTCGGTTCACTGGGCTTAACCTGCAAAAGCTGCAAGTCTGTCTCTCTTTCTCTCTCTTGCTGTATTTTAATGTACATTTCTGCAGATGATTTTTGTTGCGTATACTTTAGTACTATACAGTATTGGCATCTGATCCCTGTGTAGCTGTGTGATGTCTCTTGCGAAAGAACATCAAAAGCCAAAAGTCTCTACCCCATTCCTCATGCTCTGTGGTTTGTTGTCATATAGGAGCCACATTTCTCTGCGAGTGCTGAGGTTGAGGGGAGTGTAAGGGTTAGAAAGGCAGCAGCAGCTTGTTGCCCTTCTCCTCCCTGTCTTGCACATCCTCTGTGCAGTGTTGAGCAGATGAGACAATGCTGTAACTCAGCTGCTTCCAGAGATGCCTCAGGTGCCACAGCTAGGCTAGTGGCAGGTGGCAGAGTATTAATCATTAGGGCCGACACAAGACTCTGTCTCTGCCCACAGCTCTGATCTCTCATCTGCTTCTGATTGCCCTTGTTTACATAAGTTGGAGCATCATCAGTCAGGAAATGGTCTTACACTGTGATGTGTTATTTGCAGGCCTACAGTCAACATGCTAGGCTGCAGCCATCGGTCTATCATGGCTTTAACATCAATTTGTTCTGCCACTTATTTTCTGTTTTTGTCAGTAATGCATATGTAATGAAATGTATGAATCCTCCCTTTCCTAATAATTACCACTGATTCCCTTGTTAAGCCACATGATCTTTCTCCAGAACAGTGTGCATCAATGCTGTAATTTGCTGAAGGCACTGAATTACACACAGTTGGCAACATGTCCTTTAATTTTTTCTTCATCCCATGTAATCGTCAGGCCCATTTGGCTCTACCTCTGTATATATTAGGAGAAACTCATTGATTTTCACTCTCAGAAGAGTCCAGACTTTTGGAAAAGGTGTTTCCTGGCAAGAGATCCATATGGCTAATAGCATCTTCATCAGAGGAAAAAAAATAGAGTATGATAACAGGTCCTCCTCCTCCTCCTCCTCCTCCTCAGATGAAGATGGACAGGAACGTTTCCTTTACCAAGGTCGCTGTCGGACACACTGCCCCCGGGGACTCTATCCTGACAGGGGTCACTATTCCTGCCTGCCCTGCATAGCCAATTGTGAACTCTGCACAGATGGCAACATATGTGCCAAATGTCGGGAACACTACAAACTCCAGAATGGGGTCTGCCAAACGGCGTCCTGTGAAATAGGTACATGTAAAGCAGTTTTTGAGTTGACTGTAGCTTAAGAGAAAGACATTCAAGCTTGTTATGCTGGGTCTCTTTGTTTCAGGGCAGGTGCAGGACCCTGATACAGGAGAGTGCATTGACTGTGAGATGGGTTGCAAAACATGTTCCACGGGTAAGTCACACATGCTTGCTGTATCAGCCCCATACCATTCCTTCCCTAATGTAAGCTGGATCTGCGATGTACATTAAAGCACTGGTGATAACAGCGCACTGTATAAATTTAGCCATTACTGCATGAGTTTGCTCCTCCGCATGAATTCTAATTAATCACCTTTTCTCATTTGTACACAGAGGACCCTGAAATCTGCAACAGCTGTGTTGAAGGTTATTTTCTGTGAGTTTTTTTCTTTGCTTTTTATTATCTTTGATAAGTGGACTTTTCTGGCTTCCCATAGCCTCTTCTATAAAATCAAGTGTGTTCTCAAGTATTATTTTAAAGACCTAACATTTAATACTGAGGTTGCAACTCACAATTATTTTTGATCTGTGTATTTTCTAGTAATTGACAAATTGTTTTGTTTTTTGAAATGTCCAAAAATAGTAAAAACAATTGCCCACTGCAATTTCCCAGAATTTAAGTTGACATATTTAAATTGCTTGACCAACACGCAAAACCCAAATATATTCCGTTTCCAGTCATGGAAGACTAAAATAACCAGTGAATATTCAAGTTTTGGCATTTTTGCCTAAATACATTGATTTAAACAATTATTCAATCAATCAACAGTTCATACAGTAAGTACAGTCTTTTTCCAAACACGCTACCAAGAAATAACTAACCTCAAAATGACCTTGTAATTGTTTTTATGTGCGAGACAAAGAGTTGGAAAAATTGATATGCAGTATGTGGATTAATGTACATATCCATATATTTGGGTTAGAAATGTGGTTAATAATTCTTCACTTCAGAGAAACTTCATTTCACTCGTATTTCTGTTTACACCAGCAAATCTCTTGGACCAGTGTCTAACACAGGTTACAGAGCTAGAACAGACCTCCAATTGTGTACTTTTCCCCCGAGTTTAGGCCTCCAGGTATTGTGTGAGTCAGGTTACCTTCCATTCCGAGTCCTAGACTGTTACCTGAGCCTCGGCTTGAGCACACAAGAGTGGTCTGCTTCACAAAGATACTTAACAGAGTATGTTTTTATGTTATGTGTGAGAGGGAGAGGAGAAGAGAGAAAAAGAGAGCAAATATAAGTGGAAAGCATAGCCAGTAGCAGGTGTGATTATATAGGGCGCACCATCTTGACTTCACTGACTGCTCCTGTGAATCACAGTAGGGGAGGGTTGAAGGCAAATCCACCGCTTCACTGCACTCACCTGCTTTTACTGCTGTTACATAGGTGCAGTGAGATAGTGAGTCTTCTTCTGTAAATCTACTTGTGTAACTTTTACTTCAATAGTAATGGTTTTAGAGATTTAGAATGACAGGTTGCCTCAGTAATTTCTGTGGCTGCAGTACTTATTACATCTACTATGAGGCAAACACCAATAAAAGAACCCAAATAGAGCATTGGGCGATCTTGAACAGCAGGAAGAAGCCTCACTGTGATAGATTGTGACAGTTTCCAGCACTTAAAGAAATTCCGCTACTGAGGTTTTGCTAGTGGTAATGAAAAATGTTAAAGTTAGACACCTTTGGCTTAACTGTGAATCTGTGGGGCTTGCATAAAACACTGAGCATTAAAAAGAGTTGCAGCATGATGGATGCTTGGTATTTATTGACATTCATCTTCTCTAAGGAACTAAGTGCAACTAAACCAAAAAATTGCTGTTATTCACACTTAATATGGTTCATATTATGTATTTACTCAAGCTTTCTTAACTTTAGGGACCACATAGAGCTTATTTTTACCCTTTCTTAACTAATTCAAGGAGTAACAGCCCTAAACAAAAGTTGCTTTGGAAATGCTGATGCACTCTTCTGGAATGGATAGTCTAATATTTGCACAGAGGAATTCTTAAACATCCCGCAGATTCTTAAGTAGTGTACTGTTTCCAGGCCAGAGACAGGGCCTGGTCTGCACCAGCTGCTATTGTGAGTGAGTTGATGGATGCAGTGTGGCGCCTCCAGCTGTTCCTTCTCAAACAACCACCGCATCTTAGCACCAAATCCACGGCAACGCAGCAGGAAGTGCAGCCTGGGCTGTCAGTGGTCAGATTCTCTCATGTAGGGAGGTGGCAGAAAAGGCAACAGAGGATGTTGTACTATATAAGCTAGGGGCTTATTGCTGTTTAATTTGTTTCATTTAGAGTGGAAGTCTGTAAAGTAGGAGTCACTCTTGCATTAATGTTTTATATGTGACATCTTTGCAACTCAATATCTCAACTCCTTTAGGCTGGATTTTTTTAGGACAGCCGTCTCATGTTTAATAGCTCAGTTAATCCCCGAAGGACTGATAGGACAGGTTAATGACAGAAATCTCCCCATGCCTGTGGGCTACAAATAAAACACCAATTAACTTTCTGCCTTAAGAAGAGAACAGAGGCTTGAAGAAAAACAGCCTACATTATGTTTTCATCTCTGTTTGCCATCCTTACTGATGTTTGATTGAGTGCACCTTTTGGCTGAGGACTGCATTGAAGTCAACAATAGAGTTGCAGGTGTGCTGTGGACTGACTCAGTGCATGTTGAGATTGCCTCTTGCATGTGGTGTCTTTTGTCTTTTCTCTTGTTTCAGTTCGACAAGCCTCAGACTCATCCATGTGGGCAAAGGCTGCCTGCAGCAACATCCTTTTTTGTTTTTCATCCACTGTAAAGCTTTGAAAGTGCCATTCAATCACAATAGTTTTTGTCACGTCTTTGATAATTCAATAGCTTTGTTCTGCATATTTGCATTAGAAAAAAGAGCCTCCTTATGTGTAATAGCTGTGACAACCAGTTTTTGTCAATCATTTTTTGATTGATTTCACACACATGGACCAAGCATAGCTTTAGAAAATTAGATTATTAATATAAGGTTTCGAATTAACCTTTTCCTTTACAGTTTCAGACACCAGTGTCGCAGGCATTGCCCCCAGAGCACCTATGAGGACAGGAGCAGGGGTGTGTGTCTGTTGTGTCCAGCACCATGCACAGACTGCAGGGGTAACACACGCTGCCTTGCCTGCCAGCCTGGCTACTTCCTCAATGGTACCAGCAGCAAAAAAGTACAATTTCTGTTTAAATTATGTGGCATACTAAAGGAGACAAATGAGTACTAGTACCACTACTAGTAGAGTTTATGTTTAATATACTCTTAAATCACTGTGTGTTGGAGTAATCAATCATTCTTGTTTAAGATGATGGTGACACTCTTGAGTCTTCATTTGGATTGCAAATCATACCCATGTCAGCAAATCTGTAACATGAGACATGCAAATGTAGTTTTATGCAAAGAAGGAGTAAGGATTGTGTTGTTAAGTTGTGTTCTCTATGGGCATCTCAGTAGAATGGCTGAGATGTTAAATAAAGCCTGTAGCTATTAGACACATTATCAATATTATTTTAACACTGGCAATGCGATTGTACATTGTGTCAGACAGGATCCACCACAGACGGCCAGCTTATTCTCTCCTTCAGCTACAAGGTCCTGTTACAAAGGATCTAGGTCATTGTTTTGTGGCTGGGAATTTGGATGGAATTTGGAGGGGGAAGATATCCTGGAAGAGCAGACAGAGGATTTAAACAGTTGTGGACAAAATGAAGAGATGTGCAAATCTTTTCTGAGACCTCATCAGTCACTTGAAAAAAACTACACTAATGCTAAACATGTTTTGCAAATTAAAATGACTTTTTGGTGTTGCTCTCTTAAAATGATCTATGTTTCGGTAACAGATTGCGATCAGAGCGCAGACTGCACAAGATAGCCTGGCTTCCAGTGAGACTTCCCTGAATTAATACAGGTTAAAAAAGATAGTGAGGTCGTAAATAGATATAATGTACTGTATTGTCTCTGCTTGGTTTATCAAGACCACTATTTGCTAATATATATAATGAAGTGTTGTACTGGAAAATAATGTCAAGTCCTCACTGTTCTGCTCTGCCCTGTCAGGAGGTGAGTGTATTAAACAGTGCCCACAGCAAACCTTCAGTGAATCCAGTGGGTGGCGCTGCCAGCCTTGCCACAGCTCATGCCAGACATGCCACGGACCTCGTTCAACAGACTGTGGCCTGTGTCTTGGTGGGAACCCTCCTCTTCATGGACAGTGTCCTCTGGTCAACTGTCCATTGGGACAGTACTATGAGGGTAAGAGGAACAGCCCTGGTGAGGCCTCATTTTTGGCTGTTAATCTTGGTTAATTTTTCTTTTTGCTTTAGAGATGAGTAACGTCACAGGCTGGTGAGTCATATGTGACAAAATGTTTTACACGAACACAAAGCACTGAATGGCAAATGAGTATCAGGGGACAGTGGAGTCAGAGATTATACTGAATAACACAATACTTGACTGGTTGATTCCCTGATCAAAATAATTGCTTTTCCTGTGTGCGGTCATCAGAGTCCAGTACAGTGTGCCTGGAAATTGGAAGGACTTAGTGTCTTGCTCAAGGACACTTTAGCATGGTAGATGCTTGCCATTGAGACAGGGGCTTGAACCCTGCTGAAGGGCCTCTAGGTTGAAGGACAGTCTCCTACTCACTGTGTCACCCTGCTGCATATGTACTGCATCACCTTTCATTCAAGAGCCATTTCAGTGGAGCAATTGCAAAAAGCTCCGCTACCTCAAGCACAGGGCTCTTCACCAGCTTCCTCTTTGGTGTCTGTGGCAACAGCATTGGAATACAGTTCTCCATTAACAATACAGGGCTCATTGGTTTGATTATTTACATCCTTGACTGGATCTGTCTGTCGTTCATTGTCAGCAGTCGTTTCGCCGAGTATTTTTCGAAATTACCTACTGCTGACCATTGTTGACTTTCTAACAGCAAAGCACTGAGCTGCATTGCACAATGCTGAACCGTTTCTATGTCAGTAACAGGTCACGTTGGCCATACACAGATTTGAACATAAATGGTTTATGTGCATTGATGATATCTCAGTGACCGCCCAGATTTTTCCTGGTTCATGTCAGCAGTAAGTCCAAATGTATTCTGTCATAATTTTTTGTGTAAACCACCATCACAATATGCACATATTTCACACATCCTTTTCACATCAAGCTGTAACAGTGGTTCAAGAGATGTACCTATAATAGCAGGTAATATGTTGCAGGCTTTACACACTCTGAAAATACAATGTGGGCTGTACTGCACTCTGTCAGTGTTGAGCATTCAGTGCCACCAAGCACCTTATTATTCATCACTTCCTATCATTTGTGACTCACTATGCTTACAGTTTATTATGCTTCCCTCTAGAGGTGAAAGTGGGTAAAACAGATTTTAAAACAGGAGATTCTCAACTCAGCATCAGTTATAACAGAATTTGATATCTCCCTTTGTTCTGTTTGTATGAGGTGAGGTAACTCTGTGTTTAATTTCAGGTAAATACGGGGAATGTCACGCATGTGATGCATCCTGTAAGACCTGCTTTGGCCCACAAGCACTTGATTGTTCTTCATGTTTCAAAGGTACAAATATTTACTTTGTTCAGTCACAGCAATACATTAAAAAAAAAAAACAATTCTTATTGTTCATTGTGTGCATCAAAGGATATTTCCTGGACCAAGACAGTTCTTGTGTAGTGCAGTGTCCATCCGGCTCCTATGCAAACTCTGCCACTGAGTTGTGTGAGGACTGCTCGCCAAACTGTGAGGCCTGCGTGGACACCAGTGATAACTGCATCAGCTGTTCCAAAAGCAACTATAAGCTTTTTCTCCACAAGGGACGGTGCTGGTCGAATTGCCCAGAGTAAGCAAGCTAAGTTAGTAGAATGATGTAAAACCTTTGCAATGATTGTATTGTATTTCGATATTCATGCCTTAACAAATCTCCTGACTAATTTCAGAGGTTTCTTTGAGACAGCAGAGGGGTCATGTGAAGCCTGTGATGGCTCCTGTCTGACATGTGACGGGATCAAGTCACAGTGTCTGTCCTGTGCTGATGGCCACTACTTAGAGAGTGGAAGGTGTAGACTCAACTGTTCACTGCGGACATACCCTGCAGACGATGGCACCTGCAGACGCTGCCCCCTCCACTGTGATGTTTGCTCAGATGACAGAACCTGTTTCAGTGAGTTATTAGATCTGTGGGCACCTATGATTAAAAAGAAAAAATATTCCAAGTAGATGACATTTTGAAATGAATTATAAGACACTGTATCACAAATTGAAATCTCTTGTCACAACGGCACCACCCCTCCTCCATATCATTTCAGAATGCAGTTTCCTCTACCTGATGCTGAACGGTGTGTGTAAGGCTAGTTGTCCCATGGGGTATTATGAGGACATGGAGGAGGGCCGCTGTGGTCAGTGCCACCCGACCTGCGGCAGCTGTTCAGGACCCCTGGTGGATGACTGTGACACCTGCTCAACATTTAGCCCCAAACTCTATAAGGGTGCATGCTCCAAAGACTGCCCCACCAGTACATACTATGAAACTGAAGCTATGGAATGTCAAGGTGAGCCTCTCAATACATACATACTGTACAGTAGACGTGTTTTTTAATCTCTGAAGTAATTAATCTCAAAGGGGACATACTAAGATTTGCAGCCAGTGAAATTGAAATCCAGCCTAACAGGAAAGGTTGTAAGGGTTTAATATAACTGGTTGATCAGAAAAATCAATTCCTGAACTTACCGGTTATCAAAGTAAATAAAGGAGAGGCCCGGATTTCTTCAATGACAAGCTCAGGATATTGCAAACGTTTGAAAAAGACAACATTTACAGCTGCATGTTTGCTTATTATTCAGAAAGTACTAAATCCACCACGTCTACAATCGCAACAGCGTCACAGCCGTGTATTATCTGTAAGGGTTAGTGATAATGAAATACAATATGTATTTAAAATAATCATTTATCTCTGAAACATGGTGGTGATCACACCCTCTTTTATAAATGTAGTGATATAACAATGACGCAGTCTCATTTGTTTGATCGCGTCCAGAGTGCCACCAGACTTGTTTGAGCTGCTCCGGCCCAGATGCAAACCAGTGCACCCAGTGCGAGAAGGGACTTGTGCTGGATCCAAACACATTGTTGTGTGGTGTGACGGGTGACACAGACTGCCCACCAAGGACCTACCTACACGATGACCAGTTCACCTGCATGGGTTGCCACCAGCACTGTTACTCTTGTGAGGGTCCAGGCAACGATGCGTGCCAGACCTGTGCCGTCCCCAAATACCTTCACAGTGAGCACTTTCCACCAATGTTCAACAGCATACGCTGACGTGGTTCAGGGTGTAAAATAAACTCAAATCAGCAGAGAAGCTGATTTTTAGCATATAACAAACATATCTCCAAACTATCGTTTTTCCAGAGACCTGATAACAGATGCCCTCAGTACACTATCAACACTGCATATTGCTCTCCTGAGAATATTTCACTGTCTCACTTAAACAGCTGCATGTGATTAATCAACAGTTAACAACAGCTGGATAGAGTGATGGTAGCTTATATACATGTATGGTTAAATTTACACGCTTGGAAAAAATAGCAGCACTTAAAATTTCAATTCTTTGGAGCCTTCAAAATGTTTTTTTTATATAAATAACTATTTATAATGAAGCACTGAAAAGATTTGAAGTGCCAGTCAAAGCTAAAGAACTAAAAGAAGTTGAAGATTTACTACATGTGTGATATTAACGCAGTCGGCGGCAGGAACATTATTAATAAAGAAAGACGTGGATGTAACACAACAGACAGTTAAGCTACCTGGTCTCATTGTCTGACTAACAGATAAAAAGCAGAGAAAAAGAAAGGACAATGTGTGGGAGTGTAATCATTTGCTACGCAGTATATTTTTTATGGCAGTAATAAAGTTAACTGCGTTTGGAAGAAGAAGAAGAAGAATCGAGAATAGAAGAATAGAGTTTTCTTCCTGTATGAAAATAATGAAATGAAAGTACAATTTTACTGACCAACATCACAAGTTAAATGTTTCTTGTCGAGCTAAACTGCAAGACTACTCCAGTATGTGTGCACTGTACACTGTCCAGCTGCTGTACTGTGCCCTCGATGAGTTCTGCC